CATGATTTGAATTTTTAAAGATATTATGGTCACAATTTATGATCCTTAACTTATTTTGTCCAGTATATTACCAAATGGCTATATTGCGTGTAAGTGTATTCTGGGTTATGTGGGAGAAGAATTAACCTGTCTCTGCCTGATTTCCAATACCTCGGCCATATATGTATTTATATGTTAATATGTTGTTTGAAATTGAAAATTTCATATTCCATGTTATCTGTCTTTTTTTTAGAATAATTAAAATTATTGGGGTAAACAATGCTGGTGTATTTTAAGTACCCTGCAAAAACTGAGCAGATTTTAAAACTTTTATTACATTTTTTCAAAATTTATGTTGCTAAGATACGATAGGTATACTTTACTCACCACCTACTTTCATTGCTTTTCGCAATGAATTTTAAGGTAAGTATAGATGATATATTAACCCAAGTGAAAATAAAAAAAGTTTCATTCACTTTATATCAATCAGATTACAGTCACTAGGATTGACTCTCGATCTCTCCTATAATGCGTCGCCCTTTCATTGTAAGTAATGACAACTCTGACAGGGGTTTAGAGAAATACATCGTCTTAGAGTGAAAATGATATTTGGTATTCCAAATGTGGAACTTGGATAATAACAGAGCACACAAATAAACAGAGCAGTAAGGATATAAAAGTTTGGTTTGTATGTAGCTGATAATGCTCAAGGAACAAGGCATATTGACACTATTTTATTTGGGTGCGTGTAGGCATGGTGCACACCCGTCAAGTCAAACTTTCACAAAAAAGTTAACGAATACAGGTAAGTCAAAGATGGCAAATGTGTTTAAAGTAAACCAGACTGTTGGTACGATGATACACATGTAGGAGGGATAAAATTGTAAACAACAGACACTTTGATGGGACAAGTAGTATCTTGATAATGTTAGGAAATGAGTCTAATTAAGTTGGTTTGGGGACAGAGAAATTATTTGCATCTACTTCTGAATTTCTATTAGATGTTTAGAATTCTGGAGCTCCCGGACTTCCTCTCCTTGTACTGATTTAGGAATCAGCCCGTAAATCTTTCTATTTTTTTATTCTTTGTCTTGTTGTTTATTAAGATTATCTTGACATGTATGTCATCTTCGTATTAAAAGATGATATATATATATATATATGTGTGTGTGTGTGTGTCTTTCTTGCAATTTTTAATATTGTAGGCGGTTGATACTGTAACCTGATTCATTCGACAGTGGCACGGTTCAGAATAAACACGTGCACTTAGAATTCAGTCAAAATTATAATATAAATGTAAATTACGAAATTCATCATCTATTTTGTCTGATTATGACAATGAAAAATCTTAATCATGGAGCTAGTGCATATCCCCATCTATATTTTAATATGATAACACGAAAAAGAAACGCCGGGTACACTAAATATACTACAAATGATTTATTGCTTGGCCTAGAATAATGACACTCGGTCAGGTTGGTGAGTTGTTCGCGGTCACTATGTACACGTGTTTAAAATCATACAATACCTGACCTCCGCGCTCCGTGCGAGGCACGTGCTAGAATACAAGAATCCCGTGCAGGGGAAGGTCATTGAGTTCGCCAATGGAAATTTTCAGTCTATTTGATACTGTTCAAGTATTCGGATTGATTTTTCAAAGTTTGATTCGAATTAAGCAATTTACATCCATGCCACGATTGACGGAAGTTCAACGGGGACAGGCTATAGGAATGCTTTTGTTGGGTCAGGGCCAACTTCAGGTTGCTGCACATTTTGGTGTGCATATTCGGACAGTTCAACGTCTTGTCCAACGTGTGCGAGTGACGGGGAGGGTCATCGACCGACCGCGAAGTGGACGTCCGCGCGTCACGACGCCACATCAGGATCGGTTTATAAGACGTTCTCACTTACGTAATCGCCATCTCACAGCTACCGAAACTGCAAATAACACTATAGGCAGTCATAACCGCCATATTCATCCTGATACGGTTCGAAACCGATTACGCGTCAATGGCCTAAGAGCCCGACGGCGCTATGTTGGTCTGCCCCTAACTCCTGCGCGTCGCCAACGCCGATTGGCTTGGTTACAAGCACACTCGCCCAGAAATTTGCCTATGAGGCAATGGAGACGGGTATTTTTCACTGACGAATCCCGGTTCACTCTCTATCGTTCGAACGGGCGACGTCGTGTATATCGACGTCGAGGGGAACGTTACACCGACGCGTGCTTCGCTGAGCTGGATAGGTTTGGCGGTGGTTCAGTATGTGTTTGGGGCGGTATCCTCTATGGGTTTAAATCACCCCTGATCGTGATTGACGGTAATTTAACCGGCGTAAGGTATAGAGTCGAAATCCTTCGCCCAGTTGCCGTGCCATGTGTGCAAGCACGGAACCTGATATTCCAGCAGGACAATGCCCGGCCCCATGTCGCTAGAGTTTGTCAGCAATTTCTTGCCAACAATAACGTAATCCCAATCGATTGGCCAGCATTCAGTCCAGATTTGTCTCCAATTGAGCATTTGTGGGACGAATTGGATAGGAGAGTTAGGAGACGTCCAAATGCCCCCACTAATCTGGTCCAGCTCACACGTGCCTTGCATGAAGAATGGAATAACATCCCCATTGCAAGGGTTAACACCTTGATGAATTCGATGCATAGAAGAATCAGGGCTGCGACAGCTGCGCATGGAGGACACACAGGATACTGAAATGTCCGGCCGTGTTGCGCAATACAAGTAGGGTCATCGCTAAAAGGGGGATATTTTTGGCGTAATTAGCATTGATAATCGATAGAACCTTCAACAAATGGTTCCAAACAGATGAAATTGTATACAAAAATGAATGAAATAATGTGACATTAAATAATATAATTTAAAAGAATCTTTTTAGGTTACACGGCGTTTCTTTTTCGTTTAGTGTTTATTCCCGATCAATTTTGATTTTCCTCATTCGCCTCATAAGTTTAAAAGTATATGCCCTTAGCATTCATTGTTTGGTATAATTGTATCTAATTCTACTGTATTTAAATTCACTTGTGGGTCTATTGTACAATCTTACAATCAGGTTTTCTAAACACACTATATATCAGTATATGAGTATTGAACTTCTGTACATAACAAGTGACTCACAAAGGATTCCATCTTTCATGTATAATATGCACGTCTAAACCTATTTTAACTTTTTATTACTTTTAGAGTATTGAAAACAAACGAAAGGTAGGCATTCCTTAACAGAGACGTTTTCCATGCAAAGCACAGTGATTCTTTAATAGATACCTTGTATAAATACTCACGTCTTAAGTTTCTTAAGTAGAGCAATGGTCTGTTCATCCACTTTCTGCCAATTTCGCTAAAAGTCGTCCAGAAACTGCTTGCATTGTTTTTGTGTGAAAGTGTTCGTATGTTCACGTTATCAGGAAGGTAATAGGCCTTCCTTTTGTAAACTGTTTTATGTTCTAAAATATCAATAAGGACAACGCAGTCTACCGTGTACAGCTTACCACAATTTATCAGAAAAAAGTGTGATAAGATGTTCTCCGAATACACACTAGCTTTATATAAAGATATTTTCCTTTCATGTGCATTCGAGCATTCATGTCAGCATGTAACGGCCTATCCGACTGACGAGGTCTGAAGTACATTTAACACCTGCTTCAGGTTTTTCACCTACCAATTAATATTATTTTTCGAAAGTGATTTAAATAAAGAAGAGGATTTTCCTTCGTCATACAGTTTATTTATGATAAATTTGTTATAAGCGGTATATTCATGACTGTTTCTTGTTAAACATATTTCGTTCTGCATCTCCTACCTCTTGATTCCCTTGTTACCTCATTATCAGTTTTGTCGATTATGTTACAGTCATAAGTCGTGTCGATGACATTCATATAGTTCAATCCCTGTTATCCTGGTTTCGTAAATGTTTAGTAGTAGTTCAGTCGCTTTTACATCTCTCCTTTCGTTACATAGTGGATTAGTCTTTATTTTCTCAGTACTTTTTTTCTTAACCTTGTTCAGATTCAGTTCACAGCTAGTATTGTGAATGGGATGGATCGGTTAGGGTTGTAATTTGGCTATGTTGGTAGGTCATTACGGGGTTATTACATAGTTCACGTGTCTTCGGTAATAACAAAGACATTTCACAAACGTGTTTAGTATTTTAGTATCTTTCTTGAGTGCCAAACACGAGTGAAAGATACCAAATTTATTAGACACATGAGCGAAATATATTTGGTATTACTGAAGACCCTATAAACTATTCTATTTATTACATTTTCACAAGCAAAATAGCCAAATGTATATTTAGATATGTTCTGTCACGATCGCGTGCATCCTTGCTGGTTTATTTGTATACTTTTGTCATATGTGTTTCCTCATCACATCCATCGCAATTGCTTTCGTAAATAATTTGTCAATCAAACATTTAAAACAAAATCTGATAATTCTGGACAAACTGAAAATTAATCTTCCTAACAATCATACGACAGCTTCCTCATTTGTCTAACCATTACGCCGCCACTACATCCCCCCGAAAATTGTAGTGACAGCTAGAAGTTCTCATCATGATCACCTAAATGGCAATATATGTGTACATGGATACGAATTGTACAAGAATCACATATTTTACTCGGGTAAATTTATTTATGTTTACATCTAGGCAATGGTTATTTTATATGATCGGTTTTTCCGGACAATTGTATACAATATGATTATCAACTTTGGTAATTCTATTTCGAGTAGGCCAAATTATTATATAACATGCTGAGATATATCCGTAAGCTCAAACAAACCCATCCCGTGGTTTATGCTTACACTCTCAAGGTTAGAATATTCCTATGAAAGTGAAACTATAGATCCAGTCACATGACTTCAGATTAATCCCCGAGTTGTGTCATGTGACAATCTAATTCAGTGAAAAATTCAAATTCGATAAAATTTGGGCAAAATATGAACAAATTGAAAATTTGCATGGAAACCTTCGGAAAAAAACAAGGACCACACAACCATTTTGTTCTAGAAAAGTTAGCTTTTTATTTGTTATCAACAATTACCTACAGGTAGTTCTCTGTCAATACAACGAACTTCCGGCAGTTAGATAAGACGACTATCTTATTCAACACCTTTACTCTTAATGTGTTAATATGACTACTGACATCTTTCCAAATGGTAACAAGGTTGACAACAATGCTGACTATGCAAGTGCGAATAAAGCACCTCGGATAGAATGAGCTGTCATGGCCTGTTTACCAAAACCAAAACAATACTAATTCAAAATGTCATAGCATAGAATAATTACAACCAAACATGAGACATGAAAACATGAGTCTCCGGTATCAATGCATTATTGTGTGACTCACTTTTCCTACAATCCGATTGATCAAAACACCTCTCTTGGGTCTAAAACTATAGCGATGTTACACCGAAAGAGGCAGCTCTATATATAAGAGTTGAATGTAACAGTCCAAATATTCCGTCGGGCGTATCACTGGAAAATTAATCTAAAAGCCTATGTTTCAATTTTGGATCAATCAGAAGAACTGATTGTCGTTATATAATAAAACATTTATTGACATGTTTTCATGTGAATAGGAGAATTTATTAACTCTTCAAGGTGATATTTCATTCACTCGACCAATATCATTTTCTCGGAGTATGAACTTTACTCCGACCTTGTGAGGTATCACATATTCAAGTTTCTTGACTTGTATTGATTTAAACAAACGAAACTCAATATAGGCAACAAATATATGCATACACGTAATATAACATACATACAAAACACCTAACTCTACTTGGATTGAAGACTCTGCTCTGATTCGTTAAAAAGATGGTTAGCGAAGGCTAAACATAGTGCAGAATTGCTCTGCTGTGTAAAGCAGAATTGCTCTGCAACGACCAAAAAGGAAAGACATCAAGCAGCAATATATTAGAGCTTCTGTTGTATAGTTGCCAATTTACGGAGGTAACTTTAACAGTAACCACAGGGAAGTTGGTACTGCCACAATGAGTACTGGAACTCTGTGAAATCATATAATTAAAGATATGTTAAAACTACCTAGACTTATTGTAATCAACAAGATAAATTGGCTATTTTTATTGACAGAGAATATTGAAATGTTGTTGCTTCTTGATGAAATAAGTTCATAACATCAATCTCAAAGAGTTGTAACATCTACGGGCAGAAGGCATACTGCCACAACGAGCGCTTTGAAACTCTCTGAAACTGATAATGTTGCACATAATTTATTAATTGGGAAATTCATTGTAAGAATGATGTCCAAAATTACCAGGTGCGAATGGAAGTGCTAGGTGAGAATCCCAAAGTAATAAGAATTAAAAGAAATAAACAAATTATAAGAGCTGTTGTCATGATAATACATAAAATGAGGTTCTAGGTTTAAATCGAAACTGATTGGTAAAGAACAATAGAAATAAACTGAAATGTACAAGTACCATTGATCTTCTCAAAGTATGCTATTATCTTGTATCCACATATGTGGGAAACATAATTGTAAATCGAATCATTTGTATACACAAGAACATCTGAACAAGTTCATGTAGGTAAGACAAATACGATAGTTCACTTTCCTCACTAGTAAGATATCTATCGTTCACTCAAGCGTTTCTGAGCTGATAACAGAACTTCCGTGGAAGTCGAATGTAGCGACAATATGAATCGGAAGACCATCGGCCTTAAGTCTTGATCAAATGATTTTCAATATGCTTTGAAGCTGCTGATGTGGCAGCCCCTATATAGAAAGAGTGTCCATTAAAAAGATTGTGATCAAAACCACAAAGTGAAAGTACATGCCTTAACATATTGATAAACACAGTTCTTGTCAATGGTTGTCCGTTTGCCGTTACAGACAATGCATCGGCTGAGGAGACACAATCCTGATGTCTAGAACGTATATACTTGTCTAAAACTCACTTGGGGCACAGTGATTTAGAAGTACAGAACAATCGGATGTGCACACCTTTTCTGAAAGGGTCAGTTTTTGACGTCTTTAATGACAATGTAGTGTGATCAACAGCTATTGTTACATCACCTACACATAAATTTGTCATAGGATCAAAAGGACTCATACATGTAAATTCTCCACACCGCAAAAACCCGAAGAAAGCAACTACACAAACGGTTTACATCATTCTGTCCAGTTTAATATTAAAAACTCCTTTCCGAAGTCGTGTGCAGAGAGAATGTAACACTGGGAAGGTCACTGTATACCGAGATAACTTGGGACTCCCATCCATACGTTTGATGCCGTTCATGACTAATTGCAGACGAGCGAAGTTGAAGTTCTGGGTGTACAGAGGACAGTCTACAGCTGATGACAGGAAATGATGGCACAAGTACAGCTTAATAGTAGAGTATCTTAGGTTTCAATGTTGATGGCAATGAGCCGCAAAATTCATCAACAATTGTTCTGACACAGGAGGCGTATATGACCAAGTTCTGTTGTTCAAACACAAATAACGACAGCCAGCCTTGTAACCTGACAAGTACGATCCTCTGGTAGACGAAGCAAAAGTATTGTTGAGGATACTTGTCACATCGTCGGACCATTCCACATCACCGCGATGGGGTGCGGGCACTGAAATGGGTGAGCTTCTGCTGTTGGGACTAATGACCGGAATCTGTCCTTCTGTAAACGAGATAGAGAAACGGCAATGTCTTTGCTAATACCAGGTACATGTTCAGCAAAATTAGCAAAGTTGAATTGGATAGCCACCAAGTAAACTGTCGCATCAACATCATAATTGATTTAACTTATATCTTCCTTTCTTGATGATATGTACAGTTGCTAGATTGTCACATTTAAATAAGATTTTCTTCTTTTCTCATAGATGTCCCCACAAATAGTTGCAACCACGATGGGATAAATTCGGTGAAGATATTATGCATTTCACTCAAAGTTCATGTCGTAACCGAGACGTACTCCAGTTCATATCATTTCCCATGTCCACAGATTCACCAGAAGATTTTTGTCTCTGAGCTCGGCGTCCCGCCATAATGGACACTATCGCACTCACGAAAGTTTATCAATCTCATAATACTTGAAATGAGTACATAGTGTAGTCACAACTGTGTACAAAGTTTTATAAGCTCACAAAGTTGTATGGTCCATAAATCCAAACGGTATAACATTGTGGTAAAGTAGTCAAAGATCGAAGAAAATTGATAGAATTGAAGAAACAAAATGGCTAACGCTTTCAATCTAACTGAAAGATGAGACTGGACATAGATCACGTTACTGGTCAAACATTGACAGCCAATCAGCTTCATGCATGAATCAAACTACGCAATGCTTTAAAATTATACCTAATAAGATAAGACGGTGGACTAGGTTACTCGAACGGGTGAACGTAAACATGATTTCCAAACCTATATATTTGGTATAGATGGCATGACAGCTATACACACATATTACAGGTTATTACTGATATAAGCTAAGTTTAATAACTTGAACTACAATTAATCAACAATCGTATTCAACTGAAACAAGGTCATTGACTGTAAGGTAAAGTTTACTCCAATTTTACATAGCAATGATAATAATATCTACGTGAACCCTCCACGAAAAATGAAATGTATAGCAATTCTAATAAAGCAATCCTGAACAACGGTTATAATAGGTACTTGCCGGCAGACTTCATAAGCAGGTGGATATAGGTCATATATGATTAAAAATCAATCGTCACCAAAACTGTATAACTGATGACGCCAGAACCGTTTACGAATTTAAGCCATTGCAGAACATAGGAAGGCAATTGACTAAAAACACCTTACGCCCTCGATCCGTTGTACTGTATCACCCATTGCACAGACGGGTCCGAGACAGACGTTGCCTTTCCATGTATCCAGCCAAACCACGTGTCGGACATGCTCAGAAAATGAACTGGCCATCGCCTGGTGGAGAGAATATACACGGAGTCTTTGTCCTGAACATTGAAGAGATTCCACTCGCCTTCTCTGCCAGGCTTTCCTCGTCTGACCTCCACCCACTTCTTATCGTCATTCCTCATAACAACATACCAATCCTTCTTATCTTGAGGGCTAATGTAGTAACAGGAAGATCCCTCTTTCTTCAGTAAGACGAAGTTGTGTTTTGTTTTGTCCAGTGGTCTTTCCAACGAGGATTTCAAGGAACGGAGACATACTGCTGGTTTTGTGTCGTGTGTTGCAAACCAATTCATCCATTTCACAGTGTTCATGACAACTGGTACCTTATCCAGATTGTCCATTGTATAGAAATCCTTGTAGCCTTCAATGAATTTAAAAGTGAACGGCCAACGGTCAGGATCAAAGAATGAGGCAAACCGAACATGTTTTTGGTTAGGGAGTACCAACGATTTTATCAAGTTCCTGTCCCGCTCGTGCTCACCTTCCATTCCTTCCGTGACACCTTTTGCCAGGCGGTCAGAATGTCCTGAGGATATAAGCAAAGCGTAAAACTCCAGCATGACGGCGTCACGGAGAATTGCAAGGTGACAGTACATGTCGACGAACTTGGTAACTCTCTCGCTGTACGTGGACAGTTCTCTCTCTGATTGTGTTGTAGGCTCGTTTTCCATCAAAGAAAAAATTCTTGATTCTACTTGTCCCAACGTTTTCACGCCGTTCTTTATGTCAATCATATTGATTACATCCGATATTTCACTTCTGTTTGGACACTCGTCAGAATCAGAGCTCACACCAATAAGAACGTCATGTGCAAAGGAAAACACTCGACATGCGCCATCTACATCGGCTTTCATCACATCATCTCCAAAGGAATCAAGAGTTTTAGCCAGTATATCAATTACATTAGCGCTCTGAAGACCTCTCGGATTTTTATCTATAGATATGAAAATGGAACGTATAAAATTTGCAAACTCCTTTGCTGCGGGTGTCAATAAAGGCACTAACTCCCGAACAGCAGACACGATGGAAATCAGTCCATACCATTTTTTAACGATGTTCGGGTCAAGCATATCCTTGACACCAATTCCAATACAACCAAATTGAGCGAGAATTGTTTTCAAGTTTCCTTCAGTTGTCGACTTGTATTCAAGACTTTTGGCAAGTGCATTAGTAACCCTTTCTTTCCCCAGATCGTGTCCAATCTCTTGAAGTTTTCCAAATACTGCATCAGCATTTGCCATGATGCTCTAGCTGTAAAAGAAAGGCGAATTATAAAAAAGGCGAACTTTGAACTTCAAATACCATCTAGGGTTAATTAAATCTGACCGAAACATACAAGCTAATTATGTTTTTCTTATTATATAGTATATATAAATACTAAAATGACTCAGTTCAATGGAAGTCCTATACGTTAAACTATTGTGAATATCTAGCAGTTAAGGTAAAAAATTAACAAAAAAAAAAACATAAAATAAAAAAAAATAGCACTAGTAGAACTGGAAAAGAACCAAAGGCCAAGACCGGAAAGCGACCGGCAAGCAATTAAGAAGGCAGCCATGTGCCACATTTGTGGGAAAAAGCTTGGAAATGACCAAGTGCGTGCTCATTGTTACGTGACTGGTGCATTTCGATGTGCAGCCCACACTGACTGTAATATAAAGTATAAATACACAGGCCGCATTCCCGTCTTCTTTCACAATCTGAGAGGGTATAAATCCCATCTCATCGTGCACGCAATAGGTTAAGTGCAAACCTAAGAGATCAAATGTATTCCAAGCAATATGGAAAATGTTTCCCCTTTCCATTAAGGTGTACGGATTTTATAGGTAGCTTTCAGTTTTTCCCAGCTTCCTTAAAAAAAACTGATAGGGATTCGGCACAGGAAAGCAAGGGAAACTTCAAACATATGACCGACCATTTTGGGCAGGACAACATCGACAACTTTTCACAAAAACAAGTATAACCATACAACTATTTTGACGGACCATACAGGTCCTCCTAAAGAGGCATTTCACAGAAGTTTGTCGGGAATATCTAACACAGAAGGCATACCAGCATGCCCAGACTGTATGAGAAACTTCCACATGCAGATTATCGGAGATTACTCTGATCTTTACGATCTTTCTGTTACATATGGATAAGCGGATGTCTTTGAGAATTTCTTTAATCTGTGTCTAGAATCATATGGTTTAGATGCTACTCGCTTTTACACCTCGTCAGGTCTGGCCTGGCAAGCAGCACTCAAAATGACTGGCGTTCCGCTTGAGCTCCTCACCAATATCGATCTGCATTTGTTTATAGGGAAAGGTCTACGTGGTGGTATTATGGTATTTATGGTGGTATTAATGGTTACCTATCGTCATACCGCAGCTGACAACCCTTATGCCCTTGAGTATGACCCCAACATATGAAGATATATATATATTGCGTACTTAGACGCAAATAATCTCTGTTGGTGGGTTGTCACCATCCTTTCCAACTCATGTCTTTTGTACGCAAAGCGATAAAGAAAAAGACAACATTGACTTAATGGATATTTCGGATAGTTCGCCCGAAGGTTATATCCTTGAAGTAGACCTTGAGTATCCCCATGAGCTCCATGAACCCCACTACCCCGACCAAATGCAGGTCACTAATTCTATGTCGTCTATTCTATGTTGAAACATTTGAACCTAAACCGACTGATCTACGTCGGCTACAGTGTTCTAGATATTTAAAAAAGACCCTTAAGTTACGACTTCCACCACAACTATGTCAGGTGTAAGAACGTATCCAACGCAACATTGTTTTTCCACAGCTACAGACTCACTGGCATATGTCTTTCGTACGAATGACCTACACGATGACATGTGGCAAGATCACCTCCTTTTTGTTCTACAAAATATGATTGAGAACATCCTTTCTACAGCTTGACGAATAAAAAGGTATTTGGAAAGGTGAAGGACGAAACGAACGGAAATGTCATACAGGACTTTATATGATTAAAATCCAAAATGTATGTCTACGTCTACGACAAAACATCAACGAAATATGTAGATGGAGAGCGCATGAAACCCACTTTTCATGTCGAGACAAAGAGGTCAAAGGAGAAAAGCGTTATAAAGAATCAAACACAATACAAACAAAGCAGTTCCTCTTTGGACGGACGCGACAGATGTCAGAGATGACACAAATAAGGAGCTATGACCACCAGCTGCACAATATCAATAAGAACAAAATTGGATCGTCACCATTCGATGACAAGCGTTATTTGCTCGACGATGGAATCATCAGCTATGGAAACGGGCACTGGCGGATGTCAAAATAGGAGGGTGCACTATCATAGTTAGGTCAAATTTGTGACACCATGTTGTAGGAAATCATGCACACATATCGTTTTAATACTGTAACATGAGTGGTAGACGACTCGTAGTAGTTAAATATTTTATCTCGATGTATATGAATAGAATATGTCAGTTATGTAAGAACGGGTGTGGGATGGCTCTCCGACCCATATTCATTCCATCGCGACGGGGACATTTTTAAAGGGCAATCAAGTGAAGCAACGTATAGCTAAAGTTTGTTTGTAATTAGCCATTTTGTATTCAGTGTGTTCTATCGCTGGATGGTGATTTGAAGATTCTATAATACATATTACTTAAATGTTTGTCAAAAATGTGTTTCTGATATTTGATTTACCTACCTTTAAGATAACACGATGACATGTCATCTGTGTGTGTGTATACTAGATCAACACCTGTATAGATAGCACTACGTAAACAGCACCACACACATAAAAGATATGAAAAGCAGACATTGGCAAGCATGAGTTTTGTATGTCTACAACTACATCAAGTACTTTTATGTATGACGGTCAAGCGTTTAGGTCTGTTATATTATCTTAAGGGACGGAATTTATACTTACCTCTATCTTGTTACCTTTGGAGCTCTCCGATTGAAAATTTCAAAACGTTATGCAATCATTCTATAAATAGATGTGACTCGTGACGTTATCAACCAGTAACCCACTGCTGAAATGGGGTGCCAATAGGGAAGTACCAGGGAGGTGATAAGGATTCCATATGTGAGTGCACCAAATGAACCTGTGCCAGAAACATCAGGTTCCCTACTGCCGTCATTAGCAATCAGTTGAAACGAAAGTAGATCTATTTAGAGAATGAGAAGTGATTAAAAATATCGGCCGAGTTCACTTAAAAGACAAAAGTTCATTACCTTTGCTCTATTTAAAAAAAACGGTGATAATTTTAATTCAAATTATCTCATATCTCCTGTGAATGATACTCACAAACCAATCCTTCAGGCTGGATTTTAAGATGGGAACGGAAGATATGATTGAAAAATCAAGCAAGTTGTAAAAAAGATAAGGTTTTCATAAAGTGACTGATATTGAACATTTGCGTGTAAGTGTTTGATAGAGAATGCTTTTGGTTAAGAAATGCACGCCAAATGTTATGATTTATCACTATCTAGACAGTCTACCTTTACAATTAGTTCAAAATTTGAACTTTTTAAGATAATTGATATTAACCTAAAATTCAGACAACTGTATTGATTGAACGGGGCAACGAATGGATATATGATATAAGAAATTAATTATCTAGGTCAGATTTAGGGTACTTTACGGAAATTGAATAATGAAATTGGAATTCAACTAAATGTAGAATACATATTGTGACAGTGGAAGTAAAATTAAATAGAAATAATATCAAAAATTATTACATGCAATCGAGTATATAAAGAAATTCTGAGAATTCTTAGAAACTATGATTAATAAAGATTTTTCAAATATTGGAAAAGTTATCAGCCCCGGCAGCAAAAGGTCTCTAGAGATGGGTTAAAGAATTTACTATTAAAAGATAAAATTTGGTGACTATCATCAAATAGATCGACAGAGTATATTTAGTCGTTGCTTATAATACTGGTTTGTTAATTCAAAATACTGCATCAGCATTTGCCATGATGCTCTAGCTGTAAAAGAAAGGCGAATTATAAAAAAGGCGAACTTTGAACTTCAAATACCATCTAGGGTTAATTAAATCTGACCGAAACATACAAGCTAATTATGTTTTTCTTATTATATAGTATATATAAATACTAAAATGACTCAGTTCAATGGAAGTCCTATACGTTAAACTATTGTGAATATCTAGCAGTTAAGGTAAAAAATTAACAAAAAAAAAAGATAAAATAAAAAAAATAGCACTAGTAGAACTGGAAAAGAACCAAAGGCCAAGACCGGAAAGCGACCGGCAAGCAATTAAGAAGGCAGCCATGTGCCACATTTGTGGGAAAAAGCTTGGAAATGACCAAGTGCGTGCTCATTGTTACGTGACTGGTGCATTTCGATGTGCAGCCCACACTGACTGTAATATAAAGTATAAATACACAGGCCGCATTCCCGTCTTCTTTCACAATCTGAGAGGGTATAAATCCCATCTCATCGTGCACGCAATAGGTTAAGTGCAAACCTAAGAGATCAAATGTATTCCAAGCAATATGGAAAATGTTTCCCCTTTCCATTAAGGTGTACGGATTTTATAGGTAGCTTTCAGTTTTTCCCAGCTTCCTTAAAAAAAACTGATAGGGATTCGGCACAGGAAAGCAAGGGAAACTTCAAACATATGACCGACCATTTTGGGCAGGACAACATCGACAACTTTTCACAAAAACAAGTATAACCATACAACTATTTTGACGGACCATACAGGTCCTCCTAAAGAGGCATTTCACAGAAGTTTGTCGGGAATATCTAACACAGAAGGCATACCAGCATGCCCAGACTGTATGAGAAACTTCCACATGCAGATTATCGGAGATTACTCTGATCTTTACGATCTTTCTGTTACATATGGATAAGCGGATGTCTTTGAGAATTTCTTTAATCTGTGTCTAGAATCATATGGTTTAGATGCTACTCGCTTTTACACCTCGTCAGGTCTGGCCTGGCAAGCAGCACTCAAAATGACTGGCGTTCCGCTTGAGCTCCTCACCAATATCGATCTGCATTTGTTTATAGGGAAAGGTCTACGTGGTGGTATTATGGTAATTATGGTGGTATTAATGGTTACCTATCGTCATACCGCAGCTGACAACCCTTATGCCCTTGAGTATGACCCCAACATATGAAGATATATATATATTGCGTACTTAGACGCAAATAATCTCTGTTGGTGGGTTGTCACCATCCTTTCCAACTCATGTCTTTTGTACGCAAAGCGATAAAGAAAAAGACAACATTGACTTAATGGATA